AGAGAGATTTAAAAAGCTGCAAATTTTTCTCAGTTGATATTATAGAAGAACACTTGTGAGGCTACAAGTTCAAGTCCAGACAGACCCACTTGGGAGGCCCTATCTCTGTGCTGTTAAGTCACACAGGAGTCTTTGTCCACAAGAGAGAGCAACTGGGTGAAAACAATGGGGTCGATGAGAGCAAGTCCAGAGCCGGCTTGGGAGATGGGAGAGGGTTACTTCAAAGAGCAAGATTTTCTGTAGGTTGGCTCAGTGGCCTTGTCTTAGTGAAACTGGGTTGTTCTCAAGTTTTCACGAACAAGAAATATCTAGGATCATTAAAAAAAAAACACCACATCTGCATAATGGCCATGCACCTGTGGTACCAGTCATGCAAGAACACCAGCTCCTGAAGGACCTTGTGGTATGGCTGCCTGGGCACTGGAATACGTAAACTGCCTGTCATAAGAGACCTAAGCTATCTGAACAGGGGACAACAACAGTGCCCAGTTATTCTCATTGTGATCCTTTCCCAACTTTGTAGCAGAACAATTGAGAATGAACCCAACAGAAGAGTCTGAGGGCTCTATGGAATTTTCCCATGCTTTCTTCTGACATCCACATGCAGATCTGGGATAGAATGTGCTTCCTAAAAGCTGACGTCTCCTGCGTTTGAGGTAGAGGGAAATTTACTACACTTAGCTTCAAAAAGGGTACAACTTAGATTAGAAAATTTGAAGTAATTTGTCAGTAAATCACACAAAGTAGCTCCTTGCACTGAATTAAAAGACACACTGCCTTAAAAATCTTGCTCAGAACACAAGCCATGGTCTCTTCTACCCTTGAATTAATTATTATTTCTGTGATTGTTTTCAAAGCTGCACAGGAATGTGATGTACAGCGATTTAAGTATAAGCTTACTGATTAGACATATCCATCTGGGTTCCTTAATTTCAGATGTCAGCAATGATAGATTAAAAAAAAAAAAAAAAGAATCAGCCAGGACTGGTTTGGCTCAGTGGATAGAGCGTCGGCCTGTGGACTGAAAGGTCCCAGGTTCAATTCCGGGCAACGGCATGTACCCTGGTTGCGGGCACATCCCCAGTAGGGGGTGTGCAAGAGGCAGCTGATAGATGATTCTCTCTCATCAATGTTTCTAACTATCTCTCTCTTCCTCTCTGTGAAAAATCAATAAAATATATTAAAAAAAAAAAAAAAAGAATCAAATTGTAGCTGTTGGTAAGCAAATACAAACATGGGAGGAGATTACAACAAAGATACAAAAGGTATAATTCTGCCCATCAGAAGTCCAAATGTTGATTCCCTGAAAGTGAAAACCACACACTAGAACTCAAAGCCTAATGAGCTGCTTTAAGTAAGGAAGAAAAAAAAAAAAAGAAAAAGAAAACCCCTGAAACATTTTAATAGCAATGTCGTCTAATAATAGAAATAAGAAAGATGAAGTGCAAACGTCTTCGTTTCCCACCTGACAGCCTATCCTCAGGAAGATCACAAAGAAGCACGCATGCAGCCAGCAGCCAGCAGCCCGGCTGGCCAGGTGCTGTGGTTGGTAGAACCCAGCTGCAGCATTTGTCGTTTCCTGCACTAAGCAGGCTGCTTCTCCCTCCCCTGGCAGCTGAGGAGAAATGAGATGTTTCTCTTCAAAGGTGTTAAACATTTGGGCTGTGAGAGGGACAAATGGAAGCCTGACACCTCAGCCGAATAACCGCAGCCCTCTGGGCCAATGGGAACTTTCGCTGTGTGCAGGGCCAGCCGGGCGCGGCTCCCACGGTGCTCAGGCACAGGAGCACAGGGTCCCCACCGAGGAGGAAACAAACTATTCTGCTTTTCCTTTAATATTAACCTTTACCGTTTGCCGACAGGGACTTTCATTAAGAAGGCTCAGAGAAAGAATGGTTGGGGGGCAGAAGGGGGATGCTTTTAATACACTCGCCAGGCTCTTTGCTAGGACACATTTAACAGGCTTCTCTCACACCGACACCAAATGCGTTGTCAGCGCAGGTACTTTCTCCTTAGGTCCGTTTTGTCTGAAGTAGGAATTCTTATTGGAAATGTTGCGAGACACCCATTTGTAAGCTTTGTGGTATAGACACACCTCTAAGAATTCCAGTTTTGGGTGGATATAATTAAGCCATTAACATTTTCCTTCTTGAAGGAAAAAAAAAGGGGAAAAAAAAGCTGGATTGGAGAAGGTGCTTCTCCTGAGCAGATAATACCACACTCAGGTCAGACGTAAAAGCTCGGCAATCGTACACGGTGTCAGTGTTTGTCGGGGAAAAAAAAGAGGAAAAGCATGCAGAATTGTTAGAATGAGCTACCAGCAGAAACATCTCTGCGTGCCAGTGGCCCTAAACTGCTATTCTCTGGATTACCTGCAGTTACTACAAATGAAAGATTCTGTGTGGGAAAAGGGGCCTCTGGGCCTTCCCCCACCCCCAGATGTGTTTCTAGTTCTAACACCTGCAGGCTTAAAGTGCAGTAAACAAGCAGCTGTTTATAATGCAAATTCAAGTCACTGGGATGCCTAAGGGCTGCTCTCACCTTAAGCCCAAACCCAAATGGTCACCCTGCTCCTGGACACCCCAGGTAAAAACCTATGGCTGTGGGTGTCAGTTACACAAACGCTGGCTAGCTCGCCCTGCTAAGGACTGAGTTAGCGAGGAGGCAGAAGTGTGGTTAAGGGTGAAGAGAGAGGCTGCCTTCCGGTTGAAGTGTTCTGGGTCTCAGACACCTTAAAAACAGCTGGTAGGTATTAAAAACCCAAGATTGCAACTCACTTCGGTTGAACCTTAAACAACAACAACAACAAAAAATGGACATAGCCTTGTGGTTAAAACTGAAAAGCTTCTGGAACTGTGCAAACTGCAGGAATATCTGCAAGAGAGTGAGCCTAAAATGATGTGTCCTAAAACATAACAGAATAAAGCAAAGCAGCAGATAACAGGGTGAAGTAACTGCTTCCTGACCATACCCCTCTCTTCCACACCACACCAACCAACCCTTATTCTGGCCACAAATCTTTCCTAAACGACGAAGGGCTCTTCGAGGTACTGACCTCAAAATTTGAATGTGTACACTAACAATAAATACCGTCCATTTTCTGTTCAATATTTCAAAATGATTAATATGGAGGGGGAGAGCAAAAGCTGGAGAGAAATGGCGAAGGCAGAAAATTCTGATTGAAAGGGGAAGAGAAGCTTACTTTTCAATATTAATAGGGATCATTTATAAATACCATTAGATTTTTTTTCCTTATATTTATTGGCTTTAAAGATTATTTTGAAAGGAGAGGTAGCTAACCTATGGAACAAATCCCACTGATACTTATTAAGCATTAACTGTGTGTGGCTGAAAAGTATGATCGTTTTGTTGGCTATTTTCTATTGTTTAACAAGTTGGAGACTGTAATCTAGATTTGTGAGAAAAATTATTTGCTGTTCCAAAAAGCATTTCAACAGAAATCTTCAATTATTCCTTATCTAAATCATATTCCCCACCCCTTCATAAAAACCAAACAAGACAAAATATCCCAACTATAAAAGGAATAGCTGATATGTTTGCATGTTCAGTTCAACAAATATAAAGTCTCCTATAAATTTTAAAACTTAGAGAGGCATTTATTTGGCAGTGGTCTCTAAATATTAAACTGTATTTGTTTTTTACATGTTCATTCACTTTTTAGGTAGTAGGAGATTCTTATTTACCACACAGGAATCTCTATCATTAAATATTTAAAAAGCCTTTTAAAATAAAATGTGAAATTGCTATTTCAACCATCACAAGATCCCCAAGGTCACAATTTTAGCCGAGATATAAAAATTAGAAAAATCTTAATCCCTACTGGAAAGGTCAAGTGTGTTTTTGAAATCTATGGAAGAAGAAGGACACTAACTTCTAAATCACAGTGCCCACATAAAATAGTTCTGTTTCACATACCTATCATGTCAACAATTGGGTGCCAAGGATAACTAAAGTAAACACTCATACTCCTCACCCTGAGTCATTCCTCTCTGCAATTTTGGTGAATCTTTTCGACCCCAGATTCTGCTCACTGAGGGATTAATGACAGTACTTTCCCCAAATGTCTGTGACTGACTTTTTTCACTTAGTGGAAGAACTGGGCTAATAAGGCAAAAACCATAGGATGCCTTTTCATGATCAAGATCTCACTCCGAGGAGAAACAGGTAGACTGAAACTCTAATCTCCAAGGCGCAGGCATACATGCTTTTCATACCCTTTTAGGTGGGAGAGGGAGAAGGAGAGGGAATGAAGGTAAATACAGTGAGGGAGCACTAAACACCAATCCCCAGGCCACAGGGGGAGCACAATCAGCAGCACATCTCACGTTCACACCTCACACAAGTTACCCTTTTCATGCTCTCTTAATACAGAGATGAGGGAGCTTTCCCCTACTCAGCCACAGAGAAACACTGTCAAGTACAGATCTGGACTACTTCATGGCGCTATACATTTGCAACAATGGACAGTGGAGTAAAAATAGCTTGTGCAGCTGATTTTAAAAGAAACATTAGCAATACAATAAAAAGAGGACTCTGTTTTAGAAGCTAAGGATTTCGAATATTCAGCTTCAATGAGCCAAAGTGTTCTGATTCTACATAGCTTAAGGGCAGGATAGATACAGCATGTGGCTAACTGAAAGAGTAAATCAATTTTTTTCTTCTCATCAGCACAGAAAACACAATACTACTCATAAAATTATAAGTTTGTTGACTTCACTTGATTTCATGACAATTGGCAATATGTTATTTATTAATCTTAACCAATAAAAAGCTAAAATTCCAAATGCAAGACATCAAAATTAGCACAATTTTAAGGCAGCCATTCCTCATAACAGGTCTTAGCAATGACTGGTCACATATAATGAAAGCATCTCTAACGTGTTTAAAAAACACACACACACAAAAACATTTTTTCCCCCCCAAAATACAAATTCATGTGCTCTTCTGAAAATAATTTGTAACATCAGCATGTTACTCACTGTTCTCGGAATGGGTGGAGAGAGAGATCCATTGGACATGTATGGGTCATTATTCATATTTGGCATCATTATGTACCCGGAATAACTCGAGTAGGAGGGTCCCTTGTTGTAGAGGCCTCCGTCTGGATGCTTTCCTGAGAGAATCCAAAGAACAATTGATGATGCACTGACTTCCTTTTTTATATATCACTGTCTTTTATCTGAGAAATCAACTAGTTCTATGACAAATGGGACCTTACATAAGAGTTGTTTACAAAATATTGTAACTGAATTATTATGCTCTATTTTAGATTGACAGTATTTATTCTCTTAAATGAAATTAGCAGTGAACCAGATGTTTTAAAAAACATGTGGTTCAATTTACTTCCATTACTGACGGGTGTTTTTACAAAAATAAGTGTTATCCATCTAACTTAATTTGTTCTAATACTAACAAACCGGACTAAGAAATAGAAACACATGAAAGAACACACACAAATCTAAAGCTACAATATAAATATATTAGGCCATTTAGCCATTCACACGCATATACATTTATACACTTAAAGTTACAGTCCATCTTATAGGCAAACTTGTAGATCCTACCTGTGCTTCCAGATTTCTAGAAAATTTCTAGGTTTTACGGAAGGAGGGAGTTGTAACTAGTATATGGACAACAACCCAATTTATGAAGGATTAACTCCAGGAGACTTAATTTTATGTGCTACACTTCCATCATTTTGCCAAAGTAATTTGCATGTGTTCAGTATATACATTTCTTCCCTTTAATCTGCGTAACTACTTTGTAGCTCAGAAGGAAGCCTGATATTATAGTTCTCTTCCCTTCTCCTCTGGGTTGACATATTATACATACAAACACTTCATTCTGGTCAGGCCAATTGTAAATAATTAAAGGAGAACAGAAAAGCCGACTGTCCAACAAGGAAACACTATAGATGCCTTAATTCTTTTAAAGTCACATGGAGTTCTCCTCAAATCTAAAAAATATATACAATTTTTAAATTTTGAGCAAGAATCAGATATAGGGAGGAAGCCTGACTGTCATGTTTCATATGCATAGTTCCTAATTTTACAAATGAAAGTTTTATATTTTTGCAAGTTAGATTCTGCTTCACTGAGCCATATTTTTAGTCCATGCATTCTCTGCCTACCTTCTCACTGTAAATAGAAACAGCAATTTAACAAATGAAAATCCTTTTGAAACTATTCATGTTGGTAAATAAATTGGTGTAGACTGTCATTATAAAAATTCAGGGGGGGGGGTGGAATTGCTAAAGGTCTAAGCCAATTACCACTTTAGGTAAAATGAAGAAAAGAGGCAAACTCATTATTTCCTCTTCCACAATGAATTTAGAAGCCAAATGAAATCCAAAGTGCCCTAACTCATTCAAAGGCAGTTTTAAAATTCCATAAATATACCTTAAAGGTAAGCATTAAGTTTCCTGGGTTTTCTTTCCCATTTTGTTAAAATAGTGGGCAAAGTCTTATCGCATCTGATCCCGGGTTGTTGTTTTTTGTTGTTGTTTTTCAACTCAAAATAGCAAAACATACCCACATTCACAAACTGCACTTGCTAAAGGATAAAGTTGAAAGAAGCAGAGTTAGGTCTTACCGTCATCTGGGTGTTCTCTGGCCTTGTCATGGTAGGGTTCCTGCGAGGTTTGTGCTTGTCTGGCCACCTAACAGCATGAATCCCCATCCCCAAAAGAAAGAAAAGTCACCTTAGAGTTTGTGACAACACTGACATAAGTGTATCTCCACTGGCGCAACTCAATCACCTGTTTTATCCATCTAAGAGGTGGAGGCTAGGATTGAGTTTTGGGAAATCTTTTTCTTTTCAACACATATTTCGGAATCATTATTATCTACCGAGGAGGACTACAAAGAGTGTAAGTAATCAGAGGAAAAACAATACCAACGTAGTAAATGTGGGAAAGATCCAAACGCTGTTCTGACTGATGTTTGCTAAAATGCATCAAGGCTGCTGGGATGCCTAATATGATAGAAGTGAGTTAATGGGGGTTGATCGTTTTGATAGCTTCTTCAACCACCGTTGATTTCCATCAGAGCTGATTAAAAGCTCGCTGAAATGTCACTTCACAGCTGAAAATGACATTTTAAATAAAGGCAAGCCAACCTCTCGCAGATGGGGGCTTAAGGCCGTGGTCCCAAGCTGGCGCCAGCAGGAGCTCCACTCCATATCCCCTACCATGGCGGCTGAGTGCGAGCTTACCAGAGAAAAGTGAACTGCTCTGTGGTTAAAGAAAGGAAGACTTGAGAGTCGGGTTATAAACATCTAAAAGGGAGCCCCGCTAATATCAGTTCTGGTAACCACCATCCACCCCGGCTCAACCACGTGCAAATCAGTGGTATCACCCCCTTCACCATCTTCCTTGGGACTGCCCCATGCCCATTTACCACCAGACAAACACTGACAGAGCCCTAAAACCTGGGTTCTGGGCTTCAAATGCAGCAGGAAAAAAAAAAAGGGAAATGGTGGCAAATTTATTTATGGAAAAAGGACGGACAGCAAAATGGGTAGGAAGAAACAGAGGCTCTCCTACAATAAGAGTTTAGCCTGAGTGTTTTTAGGTGTTATTTGGTTCTTTGGATGTGTGTCCCCCACCAATGACTTCTTCCCTCTCCATATATACACAGTCACAAACCACTTAAATGGGGGTGGGAGCACCCCAACTCCCTCCCCTCCACCACGAGGTCCCATTCAAATTGGCATAATGGGATGAAAGATTCAGAGAATAAGAATATCTTATATATTCTCCTCAGACCTCAGCCCCCAGCCTTCAACATGAGTACTCACCCCTGCCATTGGGATAAAGAAGGTAATAACTCTGAGGTGTTCTTAAACCCGTGTGTTTAAAACCCCAACATGCCCCCGCCCCCAAAACCACACGCTTTCTCTTTGGGGGCAGAAGGATGCCATTTAAGGGAAAAGGGTATAACCTCCAAGTTTCTGTGGAGGGGAAAAAATCGTTGGTGAAATCATCTGAGTGTCAGAACTTTTCTACCGGATTTCCTCCAAAGCGTTTCCCAGCTGTTGAACCAGGGTGGCCAGCGGGGTGTCGGGTGTCAGGGTCCATCCGCCCACCCCACCCCCCTGAAAGCTGAAGCTTTTCGCGCTGGCCTGAAATAGCCCTTCCGCGGGGTCCCAGCTCAGGGCTTTCTCCCGCAGGCACCCACGTGGCTCTATTTACTCTGCTCGGGTTACTGGCGGCGAAGGCCCAGAGATCTCTGATAGATAAAGCACTCTCCACTGCCGTCCCCGGGCGGGCGCCCTGGCTTCCACCGCACCTCCACTCTCACTCGCCCGTCTTCGGTTGTAGATTGAAGGCCTGATCGGGGGCCCAAACGAACCCCAAAGAGAAGCGTCTTGGGTTTTTGTTTTTTTAAGTGATGATGGGGGTTGGAGAAAACCGGTGTCTCGGGAGGTACTGCAAGGGGTGCGGCTCGGTTCCGCGCGCCCAGGGCTCGGGGCAACAGGACCCAGCCCCGCACCGCCCCCGCCACCCGCCCCGGAGGCTCCGCGAGCCCAACTCCGCGGCAGTTGGGCCGCCACCACCCCCCTCACACCCCCCAGCACCGGTCCCCAGTCCCTGGCCCCCGGTCCCAGGCCCCCGGCCCACGCCCGCCTCCCCTTCCTCTCCGCCTGCGGCTCTGCTCCTCTCCGCCAGAGCCTTCGGCGGTTTAACGCACTTGTGCTGAGAGATGCACCGAGATAGCGGGCGCGCTCAGCTTTCCGTCCTACTGAGAACTCTGAGCTCAGACATCCTCGCTTTGCAGCATCGCACCCTCCTCTCCGCGCCAACCAAGAGCCCGAAGGCCGAACCAACTTGCCCAAAGCCAGCTCCTCCTCCCGCAAACCAGCGGTTCGGCCACCGAACCCCAGCGGATCATCCACCCGGAGTAAGTGTCCCCGCACGGACCGCCGCCTCCCGCCCGACACGCGCGCGCACTCACACACACACACACACACACACACACACACACACACACAAAGGAGGAAGGCTGGCCGGGGGCTCACCCAGGCCCCAGCGAGCACGAGGGACATGAGGGACCGTCTCCCGGCGCCCGCCCTACCTGCCTCCCCGGCGCCCCGCGCCGCCCCGGGACCCGCCACACCTCTGGACGCCCGGGCGGGCGGCGGCCCACTGACCTCGTGCCCGTTGCCGGCCGGGATGATTTCGGACTCGTTGACCAAGGAGGACTTGATGTCGGCTAAATCGCCTTCCTCCTCGGGGTGACTGATCTCGGCGAAGATCTTCTCCTTCTGGGGGTCGCCCTCGTCCTTGAAGGGGATCATCTCGTCCGTGGCGCAGAGTTCCGGGTCCCCCCCGCCGCCGCCGGCCCCGGAGAGTTGGGGCATCCCGACCGCTCGGTAATCTCCGCTCTGCCGGGGGAGCACCCGCGGCGACAGCAGGAAGAGAGTGGGTCAACGACAGGGGGGAGGAGGGGTTGGAAGGATGCTAGAGGTAAGGGAGTGGGGCGGAAGCGGGGCCGGCAAACGCTGGGCCGGAGGCCCGCAGTCCCGCGGCCGCCCGCGCCTTCCCGCTCCGCCGAGTCGAACGGGCCCCGGGCAGCGAGGCCGCCGCCGCTGGCGCCTCCGGGGGCGGCGGGCGCTCTAGGCTGGGCTGCCCGGGCGGCCGCCCCACGCCCCCGGCGGACGCGCGCCCAGGACGCGGGCTCCGGAGCGGGCACGGCTCTCCAAAGCGCGGAGCGGGGTCCGACGGGCGCGCCTCCGCGCAGACCTCTCCACTCTGGCTCCCCGGACGCCGAATGGGGAGCTGGTTTTCCTCCGAGAAAAGAGGAGAGCCGGGCACAAAAAGGCTCCTCCGTTTGCCTAAGCGGAGAAGGTGCCAGAAGAATCAGAAAATAACGAAATGTCCACTTCCTGGAGGGTTTCAAAAAAAGTAAAAATAATAAAGAGCCAGCCGGGTTGGATATGTCCGCTTTGGAGCTTCTAATTTCCTTCTCTTTGGCTTGAATGTTCCTTCTCCAGGCGCGTTTAATCTGCTGGAGGAGGAGGAGGAGGGAGGGAGGAAGGAGAAGGGGGAGGAGGAGGGGGAGGATAAGAGGGAAAGAAAGAAGTTTGCCAAGAATAAAGTTTGTGCGCCGAGTGCCGCGAGTCGGCGGCGGCGGAGGGCACGGCGGGGTCCCGGGAAGTCCCAGGGGGGTCCTCTCGAACCCAAAAACTTCTGCCCGAAGCCGGAGCCGACACTCACACACACGCACACGCAGAGCCCGACCCCTCTTTGTTCCCGGCTCGAATTTCTCAGCCTGGCTCGCCGGCGGTCTCGCTCGCCGCTCTCCACGCCTCCTCGGGGCAGCTCTGTCAAAGGAAGGAGCTGCGCCCCTCGGGCTCTCCCGGCCAAGGGGAGGGGAGCCCCCCGAGCTGGACCGCGTGCGAGGCTGCGGCGCGTCCCGGCCCTCCGGCCCGAGTGCGTGCGTGCGGCCCGGGTCCCTCCCCCGCGCCCGGCCCCGCAGGTGAGCGGCCGCGCCTCCCGCTGCCTCTCCTCCTCCCGCGCCTCGCCGGCGCTGAAAAGCTACCCATTTGCGTCGCTTCTCCTCCCCCTCTTCCCCCGCCTCCAGCTCTCCTTGGCTGCCCGCTGGGCGGGCGGGAGGAGGGGGACCGCGAGTTGGAGGTGGTGATTGAGGACTTTTTTTTTTTTTTTCCCTTTCCTTTTCCCAGAGCCTGTAGGACCAGTCCTAGTTTGGGGGTGTATGTGTGTGAGTGTGTGTGTGTGTGTGTGTGTGTGTGTGTGTGTGTGTGCGCGCGCGCGCGCGCGCGCTCCTGGAGGGAAGGATCAGGCAATTTGGCGAGGGAAGGAGGGACCCGGTGCTTCTTATAACCCACTGAGAGGCACGCTCTGCCCGCGTGAAATTGACAAGAAACTGCCCGAGTGGTTTAACTTCATCATCTTAAGTATCTCTTCTCTCGTCTACCCCCCCCTCCTCTGCCAGCCTCACCCCCACCTCCTTTCCGCCTACCCGCTTTCTCCCCCCCCCCCCCAAACCCTCCCGCCCGCCGCCCTGCAAGGGGAGGAAGATGAAAGAGAAGCCGCCGCCGCTGTGATCGACACCACATTGATAGATGCTCTGGCCGAGCGGATGAGGCGGGAATCGGAGACAGAGGAGAAGGGAAATATAACAGACATTGCTCAACCGTAATAAGAGAGAATGGAAACAAGAAGGACAAGGAAGAGAGTTGTGGCTCTCCTAAATATAATGTCCAAGGGCTTAGGAAGCACATACTTACCTAGAATAATAGGACCAGGAAGAAAAAAAGAAAAAGAAGAAAAAAAAGAAGAGGACCCGCATTATCGCTTTTTAAACACGCTCCCTTCCATGACAGCCTCACCTAGAGCGTTACGCCAGATCTTCCGTGGATTTTCGGAGATACACGCCACAATGTGCGGGAACCTCTTGAGGAGGACGCAAAAACAACCCGAGGAGGAGGAGGAGGAGGAGGAGGAGGAGGAGGAGGAGGAGGAGGAGGAAGAGAAGGCAAAGGGACCCAAGAGAGGGAGGCCAGTGGAGGGAGAGAGGAGCTGGCAGTCTTTGGCACCTCGGACCGCCGGCTCAAAGGGACCCTTGAAGACGCAAATCTGAATCCAACCTCAAAAATTCTGCAGCCTCCACCCGTCTCTTTGATGAGTTTTATACAACGACAGGACTTAAGATGTTTTGTGAACGTTATAGTATAAGCTAAGTTGAAGTTGAAAAACACATTACATGTTGTTCCTTGGCTGTCAAACCCCTTCAGTTAAAAATCCAGGCAAAATTATTATACCCAATACAGTAACCATCTGTAAAACCTCAGAACAGTAAACAGGGAGCAGGAAGAAATGTGTCTCCATCACCCTTAAATTGAAAATAAGGAAAGCTCTACAGAATCAGCCTTTAGCTCTATGGTACAGCAACCATCAGGCAAAGATCCTTCTTTTCCTTAGGGGGAATTGCATGCTGCTGGACACTGATAAGTAAAGACCTCAACAATGATTTAAATGAGCACCTAAAACCTCGCCTACTGATAACTACGTCCCAGAGGTGAGAATTTTCTAGGAAGCAGTTTTAAAAACTATCATTTAAAGGATTTAGTAAGTCACAGAGCATGGCCAGTGGTCACGGTAAATTCTATCCGGGGCTGGTGAAGGGAGCCAGGAAGCGTAAAACATTAAATCCATTTTACATATCTAATCATGCTATGCCTTAGAGAAGAAAAATACAGAAAGAATATTCTGCTGCAATATGTATATACAGCAATACTGAAAAGGTTGGAGAGAAAACAATTTTTTTGGTTGGTGGCCATATACACAACTCCCCTTGAAGTTACACACCTGGTGCGAGTGTAGTGTCCTAGAAATGTAGACTTGGAGCTATGTTACACACTTATAGCCTCTGTTCTAAAAGAAATACGGGGGAAACAAAGTCAAAAGCCCTCCCACAGATGAGCCAATTGGCGACAGGAAAAGAACTGGAAGATGCAGTTTCACCAAAGCAGCCAGAGTATAAGTTCCTTTCATCAAGCTCAAGGAGGGGGTGGGGGCACGCAGCATGGCCAGACGGTTGTTTCTAGAAGCCAGAGAAAGATTAAAAGGAGGACTCCTACATCCCCATTTTAAGTGTTGCAACTCAATCGAATTCCATTTCCCCCTTCATGTTAATTACCTGAACTCCTTGAGTCATTTGAAGTTCAACTCCGGGTGTCCTGGAGACTAGGCGCCCCAGAAGATGGGGTTTTGGGGGACAATCACTAGTGGGATCTGTTCGCTAGAAGGGCCCAGGGTTAGTGTCTGCCTTTCCTACTTGGCCATCACCCTCTCCTTTGGAAACATTGTTTCCAACAAAACCACCCAACAGGCAGACTCTGTGTGCGTGACTGTGTTCCCTCCCCGTGGCGTGCGGGGGGGGGGGGGGGTGGGGGTGGTGTCGGCCAATTGTCCTTATCTTTGTTGCAAATATTCTTTAAAGAAGCATTACAAGAAGCGTTGTTGTTGTTGTTGTTGTTTTAAAGCTTTGTCTGGGAAGGAGATTGGCATTTCCACATGAAGTCCGTCTGTCCGGATAAGGGCGAAACACAGAGGGGCGAAATTACTCTGGGAAGAGCATCCTTCCTCCCTGCAGGTTCCCTGTGGATCCGGGCGCAGGCATTTCTGTCGCCCGGAGGTCTCATTCGTGTGTGTGTGTGGGGGGGG